AGAAAAAGAGGAAGACCCCTAACAAGATGGATCAGCCAGGTGGCATCATTGATGGACTTAAGTGTGGCAGCGGTGGTGAGGTTGGCCCAGGATCAGACATTGTTTCATTCTGCTGTGCATGGGGTCGCTATGAGTCGGTTCCGACTCGATGGCACCTGACAACAACAACAACATTAATGTGGCACCATAGGATAAGCACTGTACTGCTAGCTTCAGGGTCATGGTTCAAACCCACCAGCCACTACTTGAAAACCCTATACAGGAGAGCACAACAGCAATAATTGAAATTTAAAATGCATACCATGAGCCTCCAGACTCCTGGTGTGGCGCTGTAGGGTAAGCACTGGACTGCTAACCACAAAGTCAATGGTTCAAACAGAGCAGCTGCTCCTTGGAAAATGCTAGACAGGGTCCCTATGGGTCGGAACCTACTCAGCGCACTTAACAACAACACCCCTGAGACCTAGCGGTTTCTCTTCTTCAGATTTGATGTACACAAGATGTTGTGCATCGCAGCAGTGTTTATAATTGCAGAGTCACTACAGATGGCTTAAATCACCACCAGTAGAAGAGAAGCAAAATGAAATGATAGAGCCATGCAGTGAAGTAAAAGACTGGTTTAAATCAGTGAGCAGTCCAGCATCTGTCTGGCCCACTTGTCTTTCCCTGTCACCTCTTCCTCATCTTTTCCTGAAGCAGAGCAAATTTGATGGACCCCTGTAAATACAGCTTCATTTAGGGGTGGGGATAATAATAATAAATAAAACTCATCAAGAGAACAGCTATAAGCACCTCTGAAACGGGAGAGGTCTGTTTGTGACAGCAACTTCAAAGCGGAGAAATAGGCCAATGAAATCAGTGAGAATTTAGAGTCATAGTTCAGATTTGTGTTGTCTTCCTTGAGAAAGTACTCAGAGGTATTTATTATAAATACCACATCTATACAAATGTTTTGTTCTACTTCTGAAAATGGTCCAGGTCAATTGTAGACAGTATAGGAACTAGAAAAAAAGCAGTAAGAGAGGCACAAGGTACCTTTCATCTTTGCCTTTGTCAAAAGTCATCTGTAGCCACAATAACCACCATTAAATTAGTGCATGTATATGTATGTGTGTTAAATTGTATTTGTATTTTGATGGGTTTATACAGTGAATACACCTTAGTTAACCAAAATTCTTTGATTAAAGAGCTAGACTCCTTTTCTTTTTTGCTTAAAATGATTCACACAGAGAATGATATAGAGTCTCCACTATATCTTATTGAAAATGTACTTTGTAAGAACCATCGAGGTTTTAAACTGTTTTCTATAATTGCATGCATATAGAAGAATATAGAATAAGCCAAAAATTGTAGTATGCTTTGGGGATAAGAAGAAAGCAACAGGATCAGTAGTTTATATTGTTTATCTTGTTTTATAGTCTATTTTTATATTAAACAATACCTGTTTTGCATCAGCTATGATATGGCCATACACCATTTTTAATTGTGTGGAATTTTGGGGTTCTGTGCGGGTTTTCTTACTGTAAACACTTAGTGACCATCTTGATTTCTGCATCCCTCTACATTTGTTTGTTTTCTTAGGAAGAATCCTTACTGTTTCTATTTCAGTGGGCCAGTGTATTTTTTTAGTCTTTTGATAAATACTTTAAAATTTTAGTTAAACAAATTGATAATGTCCATCTGGTGATAGTGTGCCCTTTTTCTCCACATTCTTGAAACACTGGGTATTACCACTTTATTGAGGGGAATATTTTTTATCTTTGAAAATAACATTTTAAAATAGTAGGCTTAGGGTACAAGTGCAGATGTTACAGATAGTTACTGCCACTTCATACTGCCTCCTAGAGGTGACAGCTGGTAATAGATTGGTGCTATCATTTGTAATCTTTGCTCTAATGGACAAAGATGTGTATTGCTTTGACCTTGCATGTCTTTGGTAACTAATGAGGTATTAACCATGTGTATTTTTTCTATGGGAATCTCTTATCCCTATATTTTTTCCATTATTTATATTGTTCTGAATGATACTTACGAACTATTAAATGCTAAGAACATCTAAAAGTTTATGGTAGTTTTGTTGTTGTTGTTGTTGTTTTGGGGAACGGCATGTGGAGATTTTAAACATCATTGGATCCAAATATACTGATGATTATGAGTTTCCTCTTTGATTACATCCTTACAGTGTCTTTCTCCCCCATCACCAAGGTGTACACATCTGTTATCCTAGTTTGTGTATGTGGTTTAAATTTTTACCCTTATATTTTACCATTTATACTTCTTTTGGCATTTAGTATGGTGGTGGTGGTGGTGGTTATGTGCCACGGAGTTACTTGTAGTACCCCTGCATAGGGTTTCCAAGACTATAAATCTTAATGGCAGCAGAAAGCCTCCATCTTTTCTCCATGGAATGTCTGGTAGTTTTGAACTGCTGACTTTGAGGTTAGCAGCCCAACTTGTAACCACTACACTACCAGAGCTCCTTGGCATATAGTGTAAAATTTTTCAGATGTGTAGTCTGTTGGCGAACCCTATTCATTAATGAAATTTTCTTTCCCCTGCAAATTTTTTGTTTGTTTTTTAATTGTGAACTGAGTGATAGTTTACATGGGAGAACATCGACTTTACACCATTGTTTCATTGCAATAATTACAGTCTTCTGCTTGTATCATCATTCAACAGTATTTGCTTCCATTCCCTCTGGTTTTTTTTGGTGGAGTCTAATAGGTAGTTTTTTTGTTTTTAATGTTTTATTGTGAATTATGTGATAGTTTACATGGGAGAACATTAGCTTTACATCCATCCTATCGCATATCGTTTCATTGCCATGGTTACAATCCCCTCCATGCATCATCAACCAACCATCATCAAGCCTGCCCCTGGTTGTCAGCACACAGCCCCTCTCCCTCTCTGGGTCAAAAGTCCCCAGCCACTCTGTCTCTCCACATCATCGTCTCCCCTGCAAATTTGAAATGACATTCTCAACACCTGTGAAATTCTTCTACCCAGTACAGTTAGGCCTGTTCTTCTGGTGTCAGTTCCTCCTGCACAGGCTCACACTTTCCGTTGTCACAGCTTAGAATATTTGTTAATAGCCAGTCAGTGAACTGCTCTGCCATTATTTTTTTTTTCAAATGTTTCTTCCATATTCTTGGGTTGTTTGTTTTGGTGACCTTGAGAAGCATTTTTTCGCATTCCAAAATGAATAGCGTCAAGATTTCATTTGGAATTGCATTGTCACTGTTCTTTTACTCTCCCTGATTTTCATGTAAAACTGAATTTTCTCCAGTAGTACTTCCTCCTAGGAGTGAATGGTATTTCTGGGAGATCTGGCTTTGTGTATTCCAAACAGGTAGTTATGTGTGTAGTACTCTTATGATTGGTTCTGTTCCTGCATAGTCTCACCTACTAATATTTTTATCCTTAATAACTCATATCTTCCCTTCAACTTTATTTGAAATAGCAAAAAGAATTTCGTCGTTACCGTTGTGAATGGTAAATCAATATTCTTTGTCCCAGATACAACAGTACCCAAAATAGAAAGCACAAAACTAGTAGTCCTGAGACTTTGTTTTTAATTCTGGATGCTGTCCTATCTTTGCACACATAACCTACTTAGTTTATTGCTTGTACAAATGTATTGTACTTAGATGTGCGTATATATCATAGTGTTTTACTTTATTTCCACCGAATAAAGAAAAGTCCTGTGTATAATTAGCCAAACTTTTCTTTTTTTAAACCCACACAAGCTTCTTAACAGTAGCCAAGATTTAGATTTCCAACCACCCCCCGCACCCTCATGAAAAACAAACTGGAATTACGCTCCTATTGCCCTATTGTCTTGTGGTGAACCATCTTGGTTCCAAGATCTCTTGGGCAAGAAACACGTGTGCTTGGTAGTTGTATCAGAAGTGCCAAGAATACTCTACAGCTGTGTCGGGACAAGCGTAAGGCTTTGCCAATGTTGTGTGTTTTAGACCTTGGCTGTGTCGGGACAAGCGTAAAGCGTTGCCAATGTTGTGTGTTTTAGACCTTGCCACCATGGAAGAAAGAGTACAACGGCGGTATTATGAAAGGCTGACGGAATTCGTGGCGGATATGACCAAAATTTTTGATAACTGTCGTTACTACAATCCAAGCGACTCCCCTTTTTACCAGTGTGCAGAAGTTCTTGAATCTTTCTTTGTACAGAAATTAAAAGGATTCAAGGCTAGCAGGTGAGCATGTGTGTCCAGTGTCGTGAATTATTGCAGCTCAACTTCTTTAGTCTGTGCCGTCGATGCACTGTGGTCAGTCTGGATCTTAAAATCAAGAATGTAGCCTGATCATGTGTAACACCGAGGACAGGAGGGAAAATTGGATAATGAGAGATTGCTGACTGTATCTTTTATTTACTTAACAATTAAGGTGGGTTTCTTTGGGGTTTTTTTGGTTTTGTTTTGTTTTTTTAATGACGGATTTATTGAGTGTATACAGAATGCAAAATGTTGTCTTAGGTGCCACAGGGCACACACGAAGGAAGCAAGACCAAGTTCTGGCTCCTGTTGAGTGTATATCCTAATTAGGAGGTTAGAGAACTATAGAACTCGACGGTACAGTAAGCAAAGCCATCAGTGAGGAGTTGAGGGCACTTGCTCCTTCATCCATGTGAGCTGTGTCTGTGAAATAAACATTTTCTTCCGGGTATTTCCGTTGTGAGTAAAGATGGAATTTCATTTAACTTCTCAGATGGTTTTCTCTGAACCTCTAGTAGCAAAATACTGAGCAGCATTGCATGGAATCCCTTCTATGGCATCTTAGCCTTGTGTTTTGGAACCTTTGCACTTTTTTCAGGCCCCTGATTTCTTTCATCAGAGACCTGTTTCCTTTCCTGAGAGCATTGCCACCACTCTGTATTCCTTGGGATTTGTTGCCCACCCCTCCTCACCGCCACCCACCCATTCCACTTCACACTCCAGTTCATAGACTCAGCTTGAGTAGATCTAGGCTCAGTTGGGGGCTTGAACATCTGTGTTATTCAATGAACTCCCAGGGGACTCTGCAGACCAAAATGTAAGAATTAGTGCTCTACACGGTCATTTTTCTATAAAGAACATATCAGTAGGACTGTTCGTCTCTTTTTCCCAAAGCAAGGTGGATTTACATAAAATCAAAAGGAAGAACAAAACCAAGTATTCAGTTACCTCTCAGCCAAAGAATTAAAAAACTAGAGATAAGAAAGGAAAGGGAATATAGACCCAAAACCTAGAACCTTTACAAATCTCGAAAACTAACCTCTTTGTTTCATCCCAGATCTGTTAACCCATTAGCATTAAAACTTTAAGTGCAAGAGAATTTAAAATCTATTTATTACTCTCTCTTCTGACTTCCCAGAATTCAATCATTCATTCAGCAAGTGATTATTGAAAACCAGCTGTGTGCTGAGATTGGAAATTAAGCAATGACTAAAATAAAGTCCTGGTCTCCATGGAGCCCTAGTCTCTTTACAGTGGTGGGCTAGAGATCAGTTAATTCACCCCCATGCAGATCGCTGTAAAGCTCCAAGGAGGATGCAGTCGGGTACCTGTAAAGTCCTGCTGCAGGAGAAAGATGTGGTGGTCTACTTCTGTAAGGAGTGACAGCCTTGGAAACCCTATGGGGAAGTTCTGCTCTGCCCTATAGGGTCACCAAGAGTTGGAATCCACTCAACAGCAGTGCCGTGATGGTGGTGGGTGTGGGTAGGAGAGCTTCCAAAGAGGCTAATATAGATTATAATATAGTAGTAGACCAGCATCAGATTTCTACTGCAACATGGAATGCTAGAAGATTGTGGGGAAATTGATCCAAAAGTTTTGAGGGAAATTAATTTGTAGCCTGAAAGTCTGCCGAACCAAAGGGTCAAGTGTCATGGCAGAATTAGTACATTTTCAGTCATGTGAGGACTCAGAAAAAACCTCACATCACTTCCTTCCTTAGTGCATTATTTTTAAATGCTTTCACAAAATAAGTAAATCAGGAAAGCAAAAAAAGATCTGGAATCTAGAAGCCAGCCAGGGGTGGAGGACTACCGAGAGCAAGTGTCTGGGGAAGCAAAGGATTCCTATAACTGATTAAGACTGAAGGATACAGTTAAATCAAATAATGTTTGTGGGGCCAGGGAGGCGATTATAAACTCCTCCAGAAAACCAAGAAGTTGAGTAAGGAAGGAAATGGTATCTTATTAGCAAATATGGTCCCATAGAGAAAATATTTGTAAGTCATAGAAACTTAAGTTGTATTGATTTTCCTTTTTTAGAATCAGCCTATAGACAAATCAGGGAAAGATTTTATTTGGTTCCACAACAGAATATAATGTTGTCAGCCTTGATGCTATCAAAGCACAGATGGCAATGTGGGGAGTGGAAGCAGAGAGAAGAGGTGGAAAGAACATTAGTACCAGAAACTTGGAAAAGCAGAGGCACCCAATAACTAGTTCACAGAATATGAATTAGAGGTGTGTTTAAAGTTAGAACAAAATTTAAAATCTGACAAAAGGGGGTGGGTAGGTAAGGAGAGTGGTTAGGTGAGCACAGTCCTCTCCTGACATCCCAGGATTTAAACAATAAACAGGAAATAACATTATAAGAGCAGTAACTATCCAAGAACCAAAAGTATAAACAGTTCAAAGTGATGACTGGCAGCTCTTCTTTAGAAGCCATCAGCATTCTTTGATTTTTACCATATACATACATTCTTTTCATTAAATTTCCAAAGTTCCTTTTTTTAAAAAATGAAAAGACTCTTGCCTGTGGTGGAATCTGAAGGCTGGGCACTCAGATCCCACTCTGCTTCCATGTGAGCTGTAGCACCTGCTCAGGAAGGCAGGCCAGGCAAACACCTGCATTCCAGGGCCTGGGGCCAAACAGAAATCTGAAGGAGACCTGGAGGCTGTCCTGTGTAGTAAGGGCTCTTGGGAATATCTTGCCGTCTGGTTATTTTATGTAACTTTTTTGTATAATTGGGTTTGCATTATTTTCATTAAAAAAACATGGGAGCAAGGTTAAGAAGTGTGCTCAATTCTGCTTAATACTGAAAGGTGAAGGGTTATATAAAGGCAATTGATGGTCACCTTTTTAGGTAATTTTTATTGATCACCAGATTTAAGGCAGAGTGAAACATGTAAGTAATCAGTTGTTGAGGTTTCGTTTATTTATGGATTTCCGATATTTTCTTTGTCATATTTTCTCCATTTTTAATTTACGGTCTCCTGCCTTGTTTGCACATTATTTTCTTTACTGCCCTTTGCTATAATTCATCATTTATACCATCCGTGTTCTTTCTTTTCTTACAGATTGTGATATCTTTAGTCTGAATTTTTAACTGGAATCAGAACTGGCTGTTGGGGTCACTCTTTATTGTACTACATGATTACCCAACTCAAATATTTCCCCCAAAACGTTCAGACTAGTTACTAGAATTTTTTAATGTTAAAGAAGATGTACAATGGTAAACAGTTTATTTTAGCGGCCATGTCGAACAATGTATTTAAAAATTGTAAACTCCTGGAATACTGTATTTATCTACTATTGCAATATATAAAGTATTTCGACTTAGTCCTGTAGCTGTACAGTAATTTGGTTTATTAAAAAAAAAAAAAGTTATTAATAAAACTGTGAAACTAGGAAGGAGACTTTCTGGACTTTACTAGAACAATGTGATTTTAATATTGCTACTATTCTTCTTTTAATAGAACTCTTTTCTTAATTCACCAATCAATGTAAATAAGCGCACTCACACATACACACGTCTTTTACCACAGTGGCATTGTTTCTGTAAATGTTTCTATTTGTCCCTTTGGCTAAAAATGTTCTAATTTTGTTAGGAAAAAAAGAAGAAATACTTATTTTTATAAATATTGGCCTTTTGCAGTGAATTATGTTTGATGTACAGATAAAAGTTGTAATATTGTAGAGTAAATTTTTCTTCATTGTTCTGTTTGCTTGCCAAGGATTAGTAAAGGAACATGGCTGCTTCCCCAGCCTGCCTGACCTTGGCGTCCACAGACAGCGTCATTGTTTTCCAAAATGAAGGGTGCTTAATTGTTCCCTTTTTTCTGTATTCTGTAGGTCTCATAACAACAAACTTCAGTCTACAGCTTCTTAAAGTTCAGCGTGTTAATCTAACATAAAACACAGCAAGGATCTGGTTGTCTGAACTATTTTAAATTAAGGAGCCAGATGTTTTTAGTCAGGTTTTCCTGACAAGACTTGACCTAAACTTCGTTTTTATTGGTCATAACAGCCCAATTATATTCTTGGCCAATTTTGTCCAACGGACAAAGGAAAAGCAAAGTCAACGACACCATTATCTTGTCAAGATCAAATGGTTTTACTATTGTGGCGGAAGCGGGAAACCTTTGCTTATTGAGAGAGAGAGAAAGCAAGAAAAAAAAAAAGATAATATGGGGTCAAGTTTAACTCCATGGAAATGCCACGTCTGCTCTTCAGTGAAGAAGCTGGTTTAGAGTCTCACAGAAAACTTTTTGACTGTATTTATTTATTGTTGCAAAAAAAAAAAAAAAAAAAAAAAAAGACGCTTTTTTATTGCTGCCCTCATTTGTCAGCTAATTATTTTTTCTTATAAAATCCAGCCCCGGTTACATGTAATCCATCCTGTATCTTATCATGATTCCTGTAGGTAAAGTACAAGACGACCTCTAGATGTCTTTTCTTTCTATGAAAGGAGCTGCTATGTACACATGTGCACACACACAACTGGGAATCAACAATGAGTTTATTGTTCATGGTAGACAAAAATGAAGCTTGCGTAAAGGTTGGGCTAAGTGGTCCTGGACTACACACAATGTAGCCTTGAATAAATCTAACAATACAATTTGTCATTTACTTGGCAACAGGCTAAAATGAGTAAAATTTATTTGAAGGTATCTTGTTTGTAAACATTTGTCAGATTCTAATTTTTTTTTTTCTTTTTGTATTAAAATTCAACTATGGATGTATATGAAACAAAATAAATGGAGATCCATTTGCTCCCACAGATGGAGGTGTGCGCTGATAATTATCTGTTAGCCCTTATGGGGAGCGGGAGGGCTGACAGGAAGAGAGGAGGGCAGTACCCACCTTTCTAATTGTACCTGGTTTCCAAAACCAGGAGGCGAGTATCCCTTTGCTGTGTCATTACTGCAAAGAGAACATCTTCAGGGGTGCTGATCTTCTTATTGCAGCGATTGATAATAAAAAAGGGAATGTGACAAAAGATCCAGTGCCTTCATCTGCACCGTAGATGGTACCAGGCAAATTGTCACCAACAGAACAGGAATTACACCTACTTACTTACACCTATGAAGGGCAGTTCTGTTGAGACGATGTCATCCTTTTTTGTTTTGTTTTTTTGTAGTTGTCTTTTTGTGGGACTTTTTTTGTTTTTGTGTTTAGGGGAGAGTGTAAGTAGGTAAGTGGTAGGAAAAACCGGAAACCAGAGGGAGAGGTGTGTTGTGCAGGGTTCCCGTTTCAGTGTCCTCCCCTTACACATTGTGTCACTGCGCTGTACTATTACTCCTATAAAACCTGCCGTCACTGGATTATGCAGCTTTGCAAAAATTTTACTAGATTTTGCACTAATTCATATTAGCTTTGTCCTACCAAGTTCTGGAACTCACCTAGGTAATTATGGTTTGGTTTGGTTTTTTAAGTTTCCCCCTGTTTAATATTGCCCTGCTATGCAAGACCTCTTCCTAGACCTAAGTTTCTTAAACTAAAGACACAGTTTCAGTTCTTTCTTATTACAGGCTCAGGTGTACAGGTTATTCTGGGTTAATTTTATCTAAGGAAACCCGTTCCTTTTTGTACATAAAGATGTCACTTAAACTTATGCTTACAAACAAAACAGACTAATTACTCAATATGGAAACAGTTTTTGCTTAAACTATTAAGATGAAATTAGTTAAAATAGGTTATTTTATCCTTTCTGAAGAAAATGCTACATATTGTATGCATTGTGCTGATGCAAGATACATTTTAATGAATTATAAAATGATTCTGCATCTCATCACATCACAGTATTTCTGTATTATTATTTATTCATATATAAATATATATTGGCTTAATCATTTAAAACTGGTTGTGGAAAGAATTTCCTACCTGTAGGCAATAGATTGCTATGTTTTTAACAAATTGTGGCAAATTCTAAGGAGCAATTCTTTTTGTACATAACAGGACATTTCATCCTAGAAAAATAAAGTAATGTTTTTGACATTGGATTTGGTGCAGTTTCTAATGAAACAATGGTTGCTTGGTTGGTTGATGATATATTTTCTGTAGCTGTTGATATTTCCAAATTGTACATAAAAGGTGAATTTTATGGGAATCCTCATACTAGCAAAATGTTAATTTCATATGTGTATTTAATGGTACAATGACTTTTGCAGTTTTCTATCACCATATAAATACATAAAGACATTTTATAGTTTTATCAATTACAGAGCTTTAGTCTTTCAAAAGTAATTTTTTGAAAAAATACATTCCTATAATACATGCGTTTCAAAAGCGCTTTTTTATGAATATTCTTTGACAAGCTTCTGCTGTTCAGTAAGATATACTTATTACAGCTGTTTTCCTTTCAACAGCCCAAGTCGCACAATGCACATTTGCGATATTGTTAAAATGTTTCTACCTTAAAATGAGTCTGGGGCTTGTAAATATAATTTGCATCCTAGATTTCCTTTTCAATGCCTGTTACTTTTCTTCTGCGAGTTCAGAATTCTTGAAGCCATTTCATAAAAACTGTTTTCATAATATTGGTAAGGCTTTTTTCTCCTACCCAAATTCTGCAGGCTTGTATTTTCATGCCTTTCAGGGGGCCCGCCCAAAAAAGTGAACGTTCAGAGTTATTTTTCCTAAAGTACACTTAACTAACCTTTTTATATTTCAAATGGCCTGGAGTGTTACCTAGGTACACTGAGATTTGCTGTTGTTTGTCATTTTTATCTTCCTAGAATCTGCAAATAAAAGTTCTTTCCCTATTTCTGTTCATTTCTGTTAGGTTAAACTCCCTGCTGCTTTGTGTGGTTCTGATATTAAAGAGCCAGCCCAGCGGCCTTCAAATTGTCTGCATGCTCTCAGATGAGACAGAACTGTGATTATTAGAACACTGTTCATGATTTGAGGCAGTTGCCCATATATCGCAAATTTCTAAGTCCTTAAAATGGTAGCGGTGGTATCTCATGTCATAAGTGCTTGGGACTTGAGGCAAAGTCAGCTGAGAAGTATTTTAATAATTTGAAATACTCTAAGGTGTTCCTAAGGAGCTCTGGTAGCGTAGTGGTTGCGAATCGGGCTGTGAGCCGCAAGACCAGCAGTTCGAAACTACCAGCTGTTCCGTAGGAGAAAGATGAGGCTTTCTGCTCCCATAAAGATTTACAGCCTTGGAAAACCTGTACAGGGTCGCTATGGGTCAGAATCGACTCCACGACACATAACAACAAGGTGTTCCTAAGTACTTAGAATAACATCCACCCACTGCCATTGAGTTGATTCTGACTCAGTTGTCGTACTGGACATAGTAGTATTGCCCGATAGTGGGTTCAAACTGCTCACCAAGTGCTTTAACCTGAACCCCTATAGAACAAGATACTGTACTGAAAACAACCTTTCTCAAAAGAATATACCATTTGATCCAATTTGGACCAAGTTCAATAAAAGAAATAAGCTATGTTTTTAAAATGATAAAATCCTGTTTTTGTACTGAAAGGGAGTTGTCGGCAGGAGGTCAGTTTTTAGGGGTTTGCCTACACGTGTGTTTGAGCAAATTTAAAGATCAAGTTAAAAGACAAGCACCACATAACATGATCTTTAAAGGGCTATTGTGAAATGCTTATTATGTGCCGTCAAGGCCATTCCGACTCTATAGCCAACCCGTGTACGGTTTCTGAGGCCCTAAATCTCTATGGGAACTGAAGGCCTCATCTTTCTCCTGAGGAGTGGCTGATAGAATGCTAGGACCAAGAGCAAAAAGGCAAATACTTTTTCCTTGAATTCTAAAATAACAATTTCAAGGGGAGATGCTATTGAGTTACTTTTGAAGGCAACTATTTTCTTAATGTGGGGCCACTTCCATTTCTGGAGGGAAAGCACATGTATGTACTATGGAAAATCCGTGGGACAAAAGTACTAGAACAATGAATTTTCTAATTAAATTTTTCCATAAAATTAAAAGTTGTATCCAAAGTATTGAGTAAATTATGAAAAGAAGATTCTTAACTTTTTTTTTCCTAACCTGGAATCACCTAGTCTGGCATTGACTGCCTTGAGATTCTATCTAGGCAGTATCGAAAAAGTTAGCCTGCCAGAATGTCTATTATTAACTATCTGACTGCCCAGCACCACAAGGCTCAAGCAGCTCTGGCAATTCTTATGTGTTTCCAATAATCTCTGAAACTGTTATCAAGTCCGGCCAACTCAAATCTTCAGGCTGTGTAAAAGTGATTTCTCCCCCTCTTAACCCAGAGCTATTTATGACTATTCGTGGCTTAACATCTGCCCAACCACTCCATTGTGTAACTTTACAGAGCATATTAACTCAAGATCACTGCCTAGCCTTTTGACATCTAAAAATTCAGCTTTGACTTTTGTGACCAGTGCTACCTTCTGGGTTAATTTTATTTTAAAGAAAACTAACCTAGAAGCACTTCACTACCTGCATACTCTACTGCCAAGAGTTTGTACAGTAATGTGGGAAAAATTCTAATGAGATTTTTGTAATAAATTTGGGTAAAGCACATTGTTGGGAAGTTCTCTAGAACATCCTCAGTAATTAATACTACAGAATCATCAGAACCTCTCAATTTCATATTCTCTCTGGGTCCAGTGTTTGGGACAAATTCGGTATAGCTCCCATCAGAAACATTCTTAGGCGCTTGCTACTTGTGTCCCCTGCATTCTCATAACACCCTGTCCTGAACAACATTCAGATGCACAGTGGTTCTCTGTGGTCTATAAAGATCTGTGCCTTTAAGGACACATCTTGCGCTCCCTGAGTGTCTCCTTTGGGTAGAAATTTGCTTGTTTTTTTTCTTCAGTGCAGTTCCTTTTTATCACTCTTTAGGCATTAATCCTCAGCTATGGCTTCTTGGTGTCTCCATTTACAATGCTTCAAATTAACCAAGGTAACAGCTTGTTCTTTAAAAAAACACTGCCTTTGTAGACTCAAGTATAAGATCAGTGTTAATTTCAACTAGTGATGAAAGCTTTTTCAAGTCAAATGGAAATGTTTAAAATGCACATACTTTTGAGCTGTCATTGATGAATATCAAGGCTAGGGTTTTTGAAGGAATACGTGTAAGAAAGGCTTTTTCCAAAACCTTTGGGGTTTGGTGAGACTGAAAAACCAGGTGCATCCAAGATCTGATTTCAAGGCAAGATTTACTGCTTTACAAACACACATGATACTTAGTCTTAATAGAAAAATGACATCAGATACACCCAGAATACCTTTAGCATTGGGATAAGCTGCCAGTTTGGCACAAAACATTTAAGTTACCAGGAGCAGGGAGGTATGAAAATAAACTATGTATTTGGGTCCATCTGAATACTTGTTTGGGTATTTTGCGCTCTTAAGTCCTTTAGTACTCTTCAAATGTAAAGTGTTATTACTTATGCTGGGCTCTGATCCTAGTGTCTGCTCTAAATGACATTTCATATATAAATGTCTAGTGCACTCACTGTTATGTACAGAATTGAAAATGTGATGGTTTGAGTATAAAATTTGGTTTGATACATGATATAAACGGTTCAAAGTTGTATATTGCAATTCAAGGAAATGTGGTTTTTTTTTTTTTTTTTTGTAAACTATTTCTACTGGAGAATGTATTTAAATTAAAATAATTAAAAAAAAATAAAAACATGAAGCAGTGATCTATTAAACAGGACAGGTCACTTATCTGAACGGTCTGACCAATGTCTGGCAGGCACTACAGTTGAAGAACTTTGCCACCCAGCTCAGGAAAATAACATTGCAAAAGCATAGTGTAAATCAGAAACCAATGGCAGCTTCAAGATTAGAGCTGGAACTAGGCTAGTAGTTCATAAAGGAGCCCTATTCTAAAGGGAGACCTCGTTACATGACGGTAGTGGATCTCTCATATCTTGTTGCTGAATTCCAAATCTCAGATCCAGAAAGGCCAGGATGGTCTGTTTTCAAATGCACTGGGTGTGAATTGCACCTTGAACTTGACCATCCCTTTTTCTGTTAAATCTTTTCACATAGCTACTGCTGCTCCTAAGCAGTCCATCTCCAGGTCGGACGCGTCCTCTCAGAACTCGAAGCAGAGCTGTAGGGAGCTGCCGTCTCTTGTGGTAGATGTGGCCCATCACAATATACCTGCTACCTGCATACAATAACCAAAACAAGAAATCAATGTCTCTTTGTTAATGTCCCTAAAACAATAGGAAAATTAAATTGCTAAGCATGAATCTGTTATCTTGCTGCACATGCTGAAACTCAGACATTTCTACAGCCTAATGACCCTCAGAAAATAACATGTAAACAGCCAGTATTACTGAGAAACTATCCTAATCACAATGTATCAACTAGAAAGATATCTAGTACTGGGTATCCCCACCCCAACTCCCACCCTTCCATTTCTACACTTCAGTTGGAACAGGGTCCCACAGGTATCCCTTCTTGGCAGCAGATATTTGTCATGTGTGTTTACTGAGTTGCCTGCTTTGTACCAATCTATGCTGTTCCTCCATTCCACCCTTGAGCTGGAGTCAGGGCAGCCCAGACAATAGTTTAGCTTCGATACTACACATTTTACAATGTTAAAATGTAGTAGAATCAGTTCCGATTCACAGCGACCCTGTATAGGGTTTCTAAGGAATGGCTTGCTGGGTTTGAATTGCTGACCTTTTGGTTAGTAGCCCAGTGCTTAGCAGTATCACACCAGAATTCCGTTCATTTTATAATGTTACTTAGTGCCAGCGAATTAATTCCGTCTCATTGAAACCCTGTATAGGGTTTCCAAGGAGTGGCAGTGGGTTTGAACTGCTGACCTCGTGGTTAGCAGTCCAGTGTTTATCCTACAGCTACACACACCTAGACTCAATTTTCAATGTTGCTAAATGCCGTCCAATCGGTTCCGACTCAAAGTGACCCTGTACAGGGCTTCCAAGGAGCTGCCGATGGGTTTTTACTGCCAACATTGTGGTTTGCAGTCCCATGTTGATTCTACAGTGCCATACCAGGAAGTCCTCCCAACTTACTGTTAAGTGCCGTTGAGTCAGTTCTGACTCACAGTGACCCTGTATAGGGTTTCCAAGGAGCAGCTGGTGAGTTTGAGCTGCTGACCTTGTGGTTCAAACCGACCTTGCAGTTCAAACCGACCTTGCAGTCCAGTGCATATATTACAGGGCTCCCCTCCGACTTAACATGGACCATGTATTACATAGGATTTCCTAGGTGTCGCTGATGGGTCTGAACTACCTACGTTGTGGTTCGCAGTCCAGTGCTGATCCTACAGCGCCCCACCATAGTATCGCCCCCCAAAATGGTGCTGGAATGGCTATGGATATTACAAATCGGGCTGCAAACCGCAAAGTCGGCAGTTTGAAACTACCAGCTGTTTGTTCCACGGGAGAAAGATGAGACTTTCAGCTCCCGTAAAGATTTGTAGCCTTGGAAAGCCTGTTGCAGGGTCACTATGAGTCGGAACCGACTCCACGGAATTTAGCAACAACTTAGCAGTCCAAGTTACAAATGGTGGTTTACAGCAGTACATTGATAAAGTGGTCCTTGAGATAATTTTCAATACCAGGTTTAAATTCTGGACATGGCTTATTGCAACTGGTGAAGTCTAGGGTTAATATGTGAACGCGGAAGAAAAACCCGTCGGGAGTGCTGTAAAGGCGGCTCATCTTGTACAGCCCGTCGCGGTCCACCAGCAGCGTCACCAGCCGGATCCCTGGGCCCAGCTCATCCACATCGTGCACGATTCCGTTCACGGCTACTTTCAAAACACAAACGAACCCTTTAGAGCAAAGCCTCGTAAGGAATCCTTCCCATTCCCTAGGGCGTTTCTAACGAATCAGGGCTTGTGGCCGGCAGGGTCGCCCCTGTGGGTGGGTTTCTCTAGGGGTTGCGCGTAGGGGAGTAGATCTGCACATCCCGACGTTCCAGGGCTCGGAAAGCCTCGCCTGGCGAGCCGAGCCGAGCCGAGCTGGGCCGGAGATATGATTACCGAACTCGCTTCCGCAGTAGGACTCGCGCTCATCCATGTCCGCCCTGCAGGCGCGCGGGCATAGCTCCGCGTCTTTCCCCAGCGAGCCAAGGCGCGGTGGCGCGGCAGCACGGGGCCGGTTGAGGTGGGCGGGGCTCGCAGGGGCTTCTGAGGCGCGCGGGAGCGGGCGCGCGGCCGTGAGGCGTAGGGTCCGGGCGCGCGCACGCCGCGGGGACCCCGCTAACGACGACGCGCGGCGCGGCGACGCGCGATTCTCGGCCTGCGCCGGGCGCGAACTCAGCTGGCCGGCTGGCGCGCGCGCGACCTCCCGGAAGCCAGCGCGGTTCTCGGCGGGCGGCAGGGGCTTCCGGCGCCGCGGATCGGGCCAGGCACGTAGGGTGGCCTCGGCCGCGAGCGGTCGTCGTGGGGCCCCAAGGGCTGGCTGCACCCGGGGACCCGGCGCCTCGTCTGCGCTCTGGTCGCCGCCGGGGTCGGGTTTCCTGTCGTGGGTTGGCGGGGCTGTGGGGAGAGAACAGGAGACTGTCAGGGAGGAGAAGCCGTGCGGGAAGGAAGGCCGTGGGAGAGGGGAGGCCGGAAGACGAGGCCATCCGAATAGGAGAAGCCGTGGGAGAGGGGAGGCTGGAGGGAAGGACAACGGAAAGGGCTCCGAGAGAAACCGGGAGGGCGGAGGAGACAGGGGACATGCACCTGTGAGAGAAGAGCAATGGGGAGTTGAGCCCTGGAAGTGAAGGACAAGGGCGCGAGTCCTCCCTCTTCACACAGCTGGCCTGGGTCTCAAGGAGGGAGATGAGGATCTTGCCCTCTAAGAATGGGACCAACGTGGAAAACTTTCCTCACCCTATGGGGAGTCGGAGATCTCTATGGGAACGTTTCATTTTGTTAAGGAAGCGTCTCAAAGCTATAAGTTTTTCGTTACCAGTCAGTTTCCCTCCAGGACTAAATATTTCTGGCAACTTCGGTTAAATAACAAACTCTTTTTGTCCTTTCTTTAATATATATATATAAACATCCGCCTTTTTGCTATTTACAGTTTGTTGAGAAAGTACCCAGAGCAAACCCCAGGGGGAAAGGTCTCAGATTACAGGTTCTCCTAATTGTTTAAGCGCCCCTGACAACAGAAGTATTTGGTTTTCCCATCCGTGTTGACATTGTCATCTTGGTCGCTGCAGAATCGAGCATTTGTGAGTGAATTTTTATCTGGCTTCTTGGACACAGCTTACTGGTAAACCGCAGTTAAGAAAGGTTTTTAAAGCTTGGCTGGGAAGCTGAGGCCTTTGGTTAAGTATAAAAGCACACACAACCCTTAGATTTTTTTTTTCCCCCTCTTTGATAGTGGCGAAAAAGCTCCTAAATAATATGGCATAAAACCAAATAAATAAACATATCAAACATATATGTGTATATACTTAAAAGGTTCTCCTACTCTCAGGCTGATGAGCAAACTTGAGCCAGCTCAGAAACCTGGCAATTTCCCATGCCCAGTTACACAATATCACCTCCCCAATTGTCTGGATTCAAGTGCCCTCCTAAAAGGTCTGAGAACCCATCTTTCTTTTCTCTTTCTAACCTTCTAATGGCTATTTATTGACATTTCTCTCCCCCTGCATTGGAGAGCTTGGTCCAACCATTGCAACTGTTGGCAACACTTCTTTTAAAGTGATTTATTTTGCCAAATTGACAATCTCCTTGAAAATCAGCTTTCATCCAGCAATAATAGCTGGTTAGAGTTCATGTTTTGCAAAGAGGCTGATTCTGACTCATGATGTTAAACATTGTACCACACACAGCTGAATAAAGTTCTGGTGGATAGCCAATTCCTGACTGTGGTCAACTGTTGACCTCACAACTGCTTCCCCATTGATATCACCATCTGTTGTCATGGGAAAGATGGTCTGATATTTGGATTAAATGCCACTGAAGTCACTCAGTGTCCATATGGAAAAATAACCTAAAGTAAATTACCCTGTGAGGTACGGAAGCTATTTTTCCTAGAGATAGGGAACAGAACATCCCAATTAAAGCAAAACAAAAACACTTCCCATAGGGAATCCTTTATTTCTTCATTCCCTCAGTAACTTATTTTCATTTCATGCATGAAATGTGTGTGTTTGTTAGACAGGTTCCCTGGCTCATGTGCCCGGAGGCTATTCTTTGGGTCTGTGAGGAGGGGAAAGAAATGTCGAGGGTTGTCCAATTTCGATTTCCTTGTACCCTCAGCTCTCATCCTCAGTGCACCCAGCGTCTCTGATCACTGAGGGACCCTCGCCCTCCTGGGCACCCACCACCCTTCCTCCTGTGAGTCCAGCCCAAGCACAGCTCCCCGAAAGGCGTGCACGACCCCTTTTGACACTTTCACTCTTCTGGGATGGAGCAGCTACTTAACATGCAAAGTTTTCTCCAGCCTGCCCCGCTCGCTCAAGATCATTGCAGTAGCTGAGCTGGCTTCTTTCGGAAAAGACTGCCAAAAGACACAAAATCCTGGGAACACATTTTTCTCCTTCCCCACACGAACACAGACCTGGAGTCTTCTCTTCTGCAAGCTCTGACCCCTTTCTCGGCTCACTCTTCATCGTCCCTTTGCAGTCTCCCCAAATCCCAGCTTCTCTCCCCGGCTCTGCCTTTTGGGTGATCTTACCTTTTCTTTCTGCCACTGGGGCTTCGGGGGAGGATCCAATGATCAAACAGAGAAGCCAGAAAGCTCTAGCTGTCATTTTTGTAGAAACAGTTCCCAAGCTCTAAAAGTGAGCCTGGGCTTTTGCTTTCTTTCTCTCCCCCCACCCCTTTCTCCACACCCCCACCCCCGTTCATGCTAATGAGGGGCAGCCTTTGGGGAAACGGGAATCACTCTCTGAACAAACCATTGGAACAAAACCGAGCTGCCCAGATTTCTTGCACTGCCTAAGGGGGTCGAGCCCGTGGTCCCTCAAAAGTTGTCCCTGGGAATGTTTGTCCTGTGATCTGGGTACAGAGATAACATCGAATCCTCAACTTTAAACCAGTATGAGGGCTCGAGGATGAGAGGATAGGGTGGGATGACAAGTGGAGAGAATGAGGGTGTTGAGGGGCTGAGGGACAGGGTGGAGGAGGATGAGCAGGGGGAAGATTTTTCTGGATTAAGGCAACAACAAATAGGAAAATGAGTGTTTAAGACAACTGGTGTTTGTGGAAGGGAGGGGATCCAAGATGACAGAACCTTCACCCCAGAACGTGTCAGGCACTGTATACTAGGTTTAGTATAACAGTACCTCACTGCATGCAGTATTTATAATGTAGAACAAGAAGGAAAAAGAGCCCTTGGCAAAATACTTTTTCCTCCGATTTCTCTTTTCTCTCTCAACAAAAATTGGTTTTCAGTTGATGAGGTTCATCAAGCCCATACTAAGTAACTGTTCCCTGCCAGGTGTGAGGTTCTAGAGAACAAAGATAAATATACCACCTTCCCAACTCCCTAGCTATGGCTCAAATATCTGCTAGAGAAAGGTGGATCTCTTTTCCTTTCTCAGACTAATTCTCTGCCTAGGTCGGAATTCTTGAGCTGGCTCTCTCTCTCTTTTGGTCCTGAGTAAAGAAGGGCCCTTTCCTTCCAATCTAACAGAAACAACATTCACTACAGGGAGAAACAAGCTTGCCCTAACCTTACAGATCCGAATCTCATTTCAACAGCTTCAAATCCCTTCCCTCCTAGCCTAGCCTAGCCCACCCTACCCTACCCCCCAAAAAACCACGAATGCAACTCAAGGTCTCAATAGGACACAGTAGAATTGCCTCATAGGGTTTCCAAGACTGTAAATCTTTATGGAAACTGATTGCTGAAGTGGATCAGCTGGTAGAACTGCTGACCTTTCAGTTAGCAGCTGAGTGCTTAACCACTGTGCCACCAGGGCTCTTTTCAAATCCCAAATAAAGATGTTTGAGATGAAAGAATTTTATCTGACGCATATGAGGAAACAGTGAGATGCAGCTGCTAAAAGAAATATCAAACTTTGAGGGCATTAAGATCCGTGGATCGACCAGATTCTGGGGGGGATCATGTTTTCCAGAAAGACACTGAAAAGCTGTAAGGAGAACAATAGGGTTGTATGAGGGCTGCACTCCATCATGTTCCAATTACTTTTGGAGGAACTGAGGAAAGGCGGCCTGAAGAGCGAAAAACGTGTGTCAAAAACTGTGAATGTACCAGTAGGAAGATGTTTTGAAGTGGCAAACTTATCTATATATCTATATCTATATTTAGAGAGAGAGAGAATCCTGGTATGGTGCTGTGGAGATTATGCACTGGATTGCAAGGTTGGTGTGAACTGCAAGGACGGCGGTTCAAACCCACCAGCTGCTCTGTGGAAACCCTATACAGGTTTACTGTGAGTTGGAACTGACTGGACAGCACTTAACAATAACAACATACACATGTATGTATACATTTACATATTATATATATATATGTATATATAACAAAAAATGCCATTTTAACCATCTTTAAGTATGCAATTCAGTGACATTATATTCTTCATGCTGGGAATCATAAACACTAGCACCCCACTTCTGCTCCAAATAACCACAGATGCATTGTTATTTCTATGTATTTGCTTTTTCTAGCTAACACAGAGGACACACAATGTTTGTCCTTTCGTGTCTGAACTGTCTCTCAGCATCATGTTTTTAAGGTTCATCCATGTTGTAGCATGTGTCAGAACCTCATTTCTCTTCTTGGTTAAATAATATCCCATTGTATGGATGGACTACATTTTATTTACCCAATCATCTATTTGTGAACACTTGGTTGTTTCCATCAGTGAACTTTGGTGTACACGTTATCTGTTGGAGTTCCAGCTTTCAAGTCTTTGGGCTGTGTACCTAAGAATGGAATTGCTGGGTTATATGGTAATTTTATAAGGATCCCCGGTGGTGCTGTAGGATAAGCACTGGATTGCTAACCACAAGTTTGGGAGTTCAAACCCACCAACCACCCCAAGGAAGAAAGACAAGGCTTTTCACTCCTAGAAAAATTTAAAGCCTCAGAAATCCTATACAGGATCACTATGAGTCTGACTTGATTAGATAGAAGTGGATTGGGTTTGTTTTTTTTGGGGGGGGGGCTCATGGTAATTCTGTGGGTAACTTTTTGGTGAAGTGACAGGTTTAATTTCAACTTTAAAAAGAATATTCTAGTAATCAACATCGCCAAGGAAATGGACCACTTTGAGGGCTTGGCAGTCAGTTCACGGTCACATCATTCAGGAATACTGTCAAACAGGTTCCTAAATGAGGTGGCTCTGTAGGATAAGCACCAGATTGGTAACTGCAAGGTTGGCAGTTCAAACTCATCAGCTGCCCTGGGAAACCCTATACAGGGTCACTATGAATCAGAACTGACTGGACAGTACAGAACAACAACAGCAGTTTTAAGGACTATAGTTGGTAGGTGCCACTGAGTCAGTTGCGACCCATAGCAACCTTATGTATAACAGAATGAAACGCGGCCCAACCCTGCACCATCTTCACAATTTCTATGCTTGAGCCCATTGTTGCTGCCACTGTGCCCCGCCATCTGTTTAAAGGAATACTGTGAGGTAAATATATTCATTCAGAGAGGCTGAAGGAGCCCTAGTAACGTAATGGGTCACAAGCTGTGCTGCTAACCAAAAGGTCAGCTGTTCAGATCTACCAGCCACTCTGCAGGAGAGACAGAATAAGACTTTCTGCTCCCATAAAGATTTACAGCCTCAGAAACCCTATACAGGGTCAATATGAGTCAGAACCGATTCAACAGCACACAATCACCACCTCCAGAGAGGTGCTGACTGTCTGGTGACAGGCTGATAATATATTGAGGGGGTCACCATGTTCTGTAGTCCAGTCCTCAACTTTCTTCAGCTAGGAACTCAATTTTGTCAATCCATACACATGGATCAGCTTCACAGGACCAATTCATATTAGCTAAACTCATATAGAACAGATGCCTACTCTAGAGTATTATTTATGAATTTGCAATGGAAAAGACAGAGAAGATGATTTGAAGGTCTGATTACATGAGTCAGCAGGTTGCCTATTGAGCAGCTGTGGAGCAGGATAATCTTCAGTTCATTCAGGTTTTAAAGGGTTGAATTCTTTTTCCTCCCAAAGAGTACGTCTCCAGTCTCTGCAACACTTGTGCACACTAGAGCCGATGTCTCCAGACCAGAGGCCTGGACCAGAGGAATCCATGCTCTTGGGACTCTGTTTATGGGTGTCCTCAGATCCCCTTCTTTCACATGCTCTTTGTTTAAGTCAAGTGAAAGAAAATAAATTGGGTTTAAGCTTTCTCAGTTACAACCACATCTCAGACATACCTTCTTGGGATTACATTCAAGTCACCAGATCCAATTTGGGGTGTTCCCGAAACTCTTCTGTTGCAGGAATGTTTTGAATGCCCTGAAGACCACACCCTGAAATGTAGAGGCAGAAGGGTTCCCAGAGGCTCACTGGGTAGGCTTGGCCCAGAAGAATCTGCTAGAGTCCAAAGCTGACCGATAGGTTCAGAAATTACAACACTGGTTGCAGGCACAAACTCAAAGAGACGGCTCTATGTGAACCAGAAAGCCAGTTTATCAGGAAGACTTGAGAACTCCTGTCAACTTGGCTAGCATTCCCTTCCATAAACAAACCACATAGGAAGCCAAGTTACCATCTGGGTGCTTGGTAATGTAAACCAGAGCATGGGAAATTCGTCAGATGACTGGAATGTTTAAAGGTATCAGTTTCTCTTACTCAAAAATGACCATCTCCACGACAGGAAGATATACCTGTCTGTCGGGTAGAAGAATTCAAGAGCTAACCGGCACCTTCTCCTCTGTCAATTTCTAGGTTCTATTTTTGCTTTTTAATTTATCCTTCTACTTTGTTGTTGTTAAGTGTCTTCCGGCCCCTAGAGACCCTAAATAGGGTTTCTGAAGAGTGGCTCCTGGACTTGAATTACTGACCTTGCAGTTCCATCTGATTTTGCAGCCCAGCTCATTAACACGCGTCCGCATCAAGGTCCCAAACTAATTCCCAGGCAGGACTCGAACCCATAATCCCCAGCTCTGGAGGCCGATGCTTTATCCATTAGGCCACTATTGCACACCTACTATAAACTATTTCTGCCCTAAGGGTTTGAACCATCTGTTCATTCATATATATTGCAAATATTACCTCATAGACTTTTATTTGATTATTAACCTTTTAGTAAAATTTTTTTACTGTTAAGCTTTTAAATTTTTTCTACTATAAAAGTAAAGTATATTTTCTACTATAAAAGTATAGTAAATTTTTCTACTATAAAAGTTTTTAGTTTTTGTATAGTCAAATCCTGTGATATACTGAAAGTGAAGAGGACTTAAAGCATTTACTGATGAAGATCAAAGAGCACAGCCTTCAGTATGGATTACATCTCAATGTCAAGAAAACAAAAAT